AAATGAATGCAATTTGATATTTTTAGTGAACTTACAATTAATCAGCTAATTTCAAAAAATGCATTATTTATTAAAAAATTGGCTCCATTCTCAAATTTACTATTATTTGTGGCGTAAATAGTCGGTTTTATTAATATTAATATTAATTCAGACAAATATTTAGACTTTCGACATCAATTTAGACTTTCAATGTTTCGACATTACGGCAAATCAAGTGACCTTGTCGAATATATTTCAACGGTCGAAATGCCTAAATGTTTGTCAAAATTATCTCTTTCAACGATCAACTCTACCATAATACCAATTCACGAATATTATGAGTACAACAAGAACATTTTGAATGACGATTAGAGCCTTACAATGTCTACAGACTACACAACATTTGATCTTTTTTGTAACAAGATTCGTAGATGGCATAAAGACCAATTCGCAGATTACCAAAAAGCAATGGCATTTGGGGAATTTCATTGAAAGGTGAAACACCATTATTTGTTTTACTGATATCATGTATGGGCCTTATTATGTCAACATATTGCAGAACTAGTATTTTCCTGCCTCACAAATGCAGCATGGTAGAAACTGACGCTTTTAATGGAGCAATGATCCAAAGCACACATCACGTGTTACGAAAATTTTTCATTACTGGAAATAAGGTTAACATGATTGGCTGGCCATCCAATCCTGATAGATAACATGTGTTGAGATAAGGATACCTATAAGTGTTGATAGAATTGGAGCAATTTATGGTTGAAGCATGGGTGATGGTTCCTCTATTAGAAAAAAAACAGGGGATAGGATTTCTTATTAAAAAAAAATTTTCTTAATAAGGTTTCAAATAAACCTAGTAATTATGTTGTGTAATTGCGTTTTTTTTTTTTTTTTTGAATCACACTGTATATCGAAAATATTTTGGAAATATACAGTACATAAATATTAATACATATATGTGTGTGTGTGTTCTGACAACCCATTTGTGGTTTAGTATAAATCGAAAAGTATCGAATTATGTACAAATCATTGTAATCGTTGATTAAGTTCTAGACCTGGTATGGTTCCGGTTTTATATTATGATGTTGATAATTTCATCTATCTATTTGGGGACGGTAGCAAATTAATTTATTGGATAATATTAATATGGTGACTGCTTTTGAGTGGTTGTGAACCAATCGATCCATTCATCGTTTTACCATTGTGCTTTGGTTTTTTGTATTTTAATTATAATATCTTTGTTAGTATTGGTAAATATATGTTGATCGGGTATACGACAGCCATAGATCATTTTACAAGTGGACATACTAAATAATGAATGAATTAATGAATGAATGACTCAATGGGTGGATGAATGGGTGGATGTTTGATAAATGAATGAATAGATTTGCGCATACGTTGTTGACAAGTAGACAAAGATCGGTGGATGGATTATAGGTTTTTTGAATGAAGAAATACAAAAAAAATAGGACAAATAAAAAATAAAGAAATTTATACCAAGACAAAAATAATAATAAAAATACAAAAATAATAATAAAAATAATAATAAAAATAAAAATAATAAGTGAAAAATGATGATGCGAATGAAAAGATTGGTTTTGTTTTATTATTTGTTAGTATGTGTATACATTTGATAACTTTCGTAACTATTATTATTATTTAATTGTTAGTATCATAATAACAATAACAAAACGAACATCACCATCCGATTCCTTTGTAAAATTTTTAAGAGGTTCGGAAATTTCTCTTTATTTATTGAATGGGAAAAATTCCCTCTGAAAAAATATTATTATATATTATCTGATCAAAAGTATAACGTTATGATTTTGTGTAAGTGGTCTTTTTTCTTTTTATTCGATAAAAAATTTTTTCCTCCTGAACTTTATTATTTTCAAAAAAAAAAAAAAAAACAATCACAAAAAAAAAAATTTAGACGTAGCAATTGAAATATTAAGAAACTTAGAAATTCCGGAATTAATAATGAGGTGATGGAATGAAGCGGGACGTTTGTAGTTCTGGGAACAAAAAAATCCTCGACTTATTATTTATCACACATTAATATATTTGATGCATTGAGGGATGTTACATTTTTAAATTTCTTTACACAAAACTGCCTTTTATAATTGTAAAAAGTAGCAATAACAATAATAATAATGCAATATGTAAAATTTCCACATGTATTTGTTATTATATCAAGTGATCAGAAAGAATGGACGAAAAAAAGAACGAGCATGATTATTTGCTAAATTTTTATTAATTATTATTTTTAATGGTAATAACAACAGTAATAACGGACATGAGCAATAGTGATTGTAATTGTAATTGTAATCGTAATCGTAATCGTAATCGTAATTGTATTTGTATTTGTAATAGTAATTGTAATAGTAATAATAGTAATAATAGTAATAGTAATAATAATAGTAATAATAGTAATATTAATTTAACATTAACTGACTGGTGATAGTAACTATAATAATAACTTGAAAAACTTTATAATAATTTATTACTAATATTATACTAGGATAGGAAATAAATAAATAAAATTTAAAAACATTAATATTAATCCTGCATTACATGCATTTATGTATGTATATACATGGGATAACAAAAAAAATTTTAAATTAAATTGGGGTGTTAGTATGTTTTTAAAACCCTGAAAAATGGTATAAATAATAATAATGTCAAATTACCTGTTACCGAGAATTTGGAAGTGTTTTTTTTTGGAGGGAAGGGATTTTTAAAGTTTAAAGTGTAAAAAAATTTTTTTTTTATTATTATTATTAAAAATCTGTTGTAAAATAAATAATAAATAATAAATAATAGTAATAGTAATAGTAATAGTGTTAGTAATAGTAAATAGTAAATAGTATAATAATAACAATAATAAATAATCCTCCATTCATGTTCAAATTTATGTTCATTCATTTACATTTTGTTTATTATTTGATTGATTCAAAAAACTTGTATTTATCTTGTTTGAAATTTCAATAAATTACATATTAAGATTTGAATAGAAGAGGTATTTAACGTCAATTGAAAATGAAACCTCATTTATTCAAAAAAACAACTTAAATGACCATTAATTAATTTAAACAACAATTAATTGATTGAACAATTTGAGTACGGCAATAACCACGCATTCATTTTTAATCATTTATTAATATCTCTTTTTCACTGATTAATTAATTTCAGGAGAATGGTGATAAATATTCTTATTATCAATCATCATTATTCCCATGGTGATTATGAAAGGAAAGAAATTAGTATTGTACTGTAGATACAAAAATAGAAGAAAATGTTCAAAGATGAAGAAAATCAAAGATAGCAAGAAAGATGATTGGTGCAATTTTATATTTAAATATTTTTTTGTAAGGGACCTTTGAAAAATATAATCAAATATGCACGATGTTATTAAATTTAATTATTGTTATGATTACTCATTATTATTAACATTAATGAAATAAAACAAAAAGAAGCATTCAAAGGCACAAATTAAGAATAATTTCTAAATGACGATGATCTGGGTAGTGTGGGGATGAAAAATCAAATATATATATATACATGAATTAACAGACCTGTGCGTATATGTGTATGCGCGCGCGCGCGTATTAATGCAGTCTGGGAGTCAAGAATGCTATTATTATTAGATATTATTGCTAAATATTATTAAATAGTTACCAAATAATTATATAATAACAATGTCGCGATTATTAAAAATTCTCGATTTGATGAAGTTTTAATGGTTTGACAGCTTTCAAACCTTTTTTAAGAGTTTACAAAAAAAATTAAAGGAAAATAATACCAAAATTTGCATAATTTGTACAGTCAGAAAATATTATTAATTAAATAATTTAATTAAAGCAGGAAGAATAATTATCAAAATTATACCGATTATTCTTTTTTCCAATTGTATTATTATTTTTAGATTTCTATCATCATAATTATTATTGTTCACACACAAAAAGAATTTTTGTACAACAAACTTTATTTATTTCCTAACAATTTTTTCCGAAATTCTCAAAGAATTTATTGATTTCCTCCTAATTTCCAATAAATTCTTCCCAAAATTTCCCTTTTTATCACGATCTATCAATCAAGGATCAACAATTAAACAAAACAATATTAAAAGAAACAATCTACAATTATTTTAAACCATTCAAATTCGTTCAAACGGATTTCTTTTGTGCATACAATATGATTTATCAATTGTTGTATTCATGTTTCCTCGTTTGTTGTTTCTATGTTATCGTTGTCACATTTTCACATCATTATCATAATACAATCAAATTAATAACATCAACATTCTGAGATGTTTCTTTTAATGTTTCACGGCAAATCAATCACCAACAAAACGAAATAAAGAAAGAAGCAGCTTCTATTATTTATTATTTTTATTATTGTTTGTCATCTAATTAGTAGATGCAAATCTAACTAATCATATTAAATTCCATTATAATTAATTATTTACAAACAAATAATAAAATAATATTAAAGTTTATCTGTATCCAAAGAAAAAAAACATTAAAATTTATTATTTGTTATTTTTTCAGGAATAAAAGGAATAAACCCGATTCGTAAAATTCGACGAGAGAGAATTAAAAAAAAAAATTTTTTTTTTATTGTATGTATATTTTACTATATTTTTTTTTAGTATATTTTTTATAAAAAAAATTTGCATATTAATTTATTTATTATTATCTTCTATCTCTCTTTATTTATTATATATATATCTTGTTTATAATTTTATAACCTCCTCTACCTGCTATTATTACTATATCATTACTATTACTATTATACTATTACTAATGTTACGATAGCATGTATATATACGAGATGTTCCATTGTTCATTAAAATGGGGATTTTTTTTGATTTTTGTACAGTTTAAAAAAAATAAAAAAATTATTTATAAAGAAAAAAAAAATTTTTATGTAATAAATTAATAAATAAATATAAAAAAAAATAGGGGAATAACAAAATCAGTAAATTGACCAACCAATCAAATCAAATTGATTTAATCATTATTATAAAAATATTCTAAAATATCAGGTTGCTGTGATGTTGTATAAAATGTATAACAACCATTATAACCATTACCATCATTATCATTGCTAACATTATCAATATTACTATTACTATTTGTCTCTGACATGGACAAAATTGGGAAAGCGTCTAATGGGCTGGTGGGTGTTGGTGGTTCTTGGTGTTGCTGCAATAATAGCTGTGGAAGTGGCGGTTGTGGGCTAATCATTATTGATCTTCTTGGAGCTATGGACTGTGGTTGCAGTGATACCATATCATAATTATCACTACTATTGGCATCTTCTTGCTTTATATTATTAATATTAATGCTATTACTATTTACATTGTTACTATTTACATTGTAATCATTTAATTGTGAGAAATCCAATGGAAATGGATTTGCTGCCGCGAACAAATTCATAAAGTTTTGGACATAATAACCATCATTATTGGCATTACTACCATTGATATAATTAAATAATTGAGAGTTCCAGTCATCTTGTGAGAGCTCTGAAGGAAATTGTTGAAATTCATCTTGTGTGAACATCAGCTGCTGTTGTAAATGATCAGGCTGATTTATTACTAATGAACTTTGACCATTGTCTAAATCAATGGAATCTGGGCATTCGTAACTGTTAGTATTATTAAAAGTTGAAGATGAAGAGGAAGATGCGGAACCGGAGGAAGAAGTAGAGAATGATGATGAGCTGCTGGCATTACTATCTGCTCTGGACATTTGCAAAGAAAATTGCTGGTGATGAAGATCTTCAATTGGGCTATGATACAATTGTTGGTGTAATAATGATGATATAATTGCCGTTTGTGGCATTTTCGATGCCATTGTTATTAATGAAAGAGGATGATGTTCCGAGGGATTTAAAAAATTTGGCGTCTTAGGTGTTTGTGGTGGTGAAAATGTATTTTTCTTGATTGCCTTTATACTATCATTGTTATTGGTAATACTATTATTACTAATATTATCATCATTATTACCAGCACCAGTTTCTTCTTCTAGACTTTTCAAATCAAACACAGTAAAGGCTGATTCCATTGAAGCTTGTTTTCTATGTTCTGGTGGAACTTCTGATCCATCATGATGATCATCATCTTTATTTACAATACCAAATTCTGAATCAGTTGGGGATAATATTGCTCCATTATTATTATTATTATTATTATTATAGCTATTTTCATTTATACCATCATTGATAATGATAAGATTGTCACATTTACATCCTTCGTTACAATTGCTATTATTATTTACACATTTACAACACTTCCAATTACCGTTGTTATTATTTACACACTTGTTGTTATTACCAGCACCACCACAACCACGAGTTTTTAACTTATTTTTATTTTCACGCTTCCTAGGTCGATATTTATAAAATGGATATTTTTTCTTATGCTCAACTAAAGCTAAATCGGCCTCACGTTGATATCGTAATTTGACCGCATCAGTTTCCTCCCTCCACATTTCTGCTACAGTTTTTGACGGATGACCATTGTTGCTGTTGTTGGAGGAGGAGGAAGAATTAGAACGAATTGAAGATTTGTAACGTGCTAATTCCTTAGATTTTGTTCTATGGTAAATGATGAATGCGTTTGGAGGTCTTGGAACTTTTGGAGTCTCGTATGGTTTTTGTGTTGTTGGTGTCGTGGTTGCAGTTGGAGTTGCCGGGGCTGAAGGAATTGTTGTCGAGGATATTGTTGTAATATGTTGACATTTATTATCATTAACATTGACATCGCTATAATTGTTGTTGTCTTGTGGTGTCCAGAGCAGTTGTTGTTGTAGTCCTTTAGTCTGATCAAATGATAAAGCAGCAACAGCGACAGCAGCAGTCTGTTGAGAATCGTTGTCGATCGCAGCCGTAGTCGTAATAGTATTTTCCGAATTCATAGAAATGGCGTGAGGAAAAGAAGCGGAAGACAATTGTTGTTGTCGATGTTGTTGTTGGAGGAATTCTTGATATTTTAATGAGTTGTTTGCGAAATTCGTGGTGGCGGTAATTGATGATGACAAGTTCGGAAAACAGGAAGATGTGGCTAAAGAGACGTTATTGTTGTTAATCCCAATGATGTTGTTTGTGTTGTTGTTGTTGTTCATATTGTTAATAAATTGCATATTAATTCAGTTTATTAACATATATATTCAATTTTTCTTCTTTCCCTCGCAAGAGTTTTTAATTAAAAAGATAAAAAAAGAAAAGAAAAAATGTATGTACATATATATATATATATATATATATATATATATATTTACAACTATATGTATGCGTAGTGTGTAATATTGTTTGTAGTTGTGTTTGATGAGAATATAAAGAAAAAGAGAAAAAAGAAAAAAAATCAGAATTTTGGTTGGTTCAGATGGGGGTCTGGTTGAAGTCAAAAAATAATTGTGTTGTGTGTTGATGAAATGTTCGGGAGAAATTATTTGTTTCGTGAATTATTTATAGTGAAATGAGAAAATGTGATGGGGCGTGTGCGATAGAAGTAATGGGGAATGATGAGAAGTTTAATAATGAATGAGAATGAGAATGAGAAGAAAAATAAATTTGTAAATTGATATAAATAAAAATAAAAAATTCTTTCAACACTTTGCGAATATGCCAAGGTAATAGTTTTGTTTGAGAGTAGGAAAGAGAGAATGAATAAAGAAGGTTTATTAAATTAATTATTTTTATTTATGTTTTTTAAAAAGATAAAGAACAACAACAACAATGATTGACTTATTATTTTTTTTTAAAATAAAAAAAAAAAAAGAAAAATATTATTATATATATATATATATTGATAAATTTCTATGTACACAAAAGATTTTATTTATTATTTATATTTGAAATTGCGATATTTTTGAATCGACACTAGATTGTCCAAAAAAGTATGTGCCTGTGTAAGGTTGGGAAAATTTGACGGTCATGTAATTGATATTTATTATATATAGTAAAAATAAATTTACGAAGAAATTGTTTGTTTCGTTCGTTGTCCTTTTAAATTAATTTTTATTAAGTAAATATATATATTTATATATATATATATATGATTTTATACAGTAATTGTTATTATTATTATATTAATTTATATTATTAAAAAGAAAAATAAATGAATGAAATTCTTTCGAAAGAAAAAAATTGTTTATTTTTATATCTTTCCCTATTATCGTCTTGTTTTTGAGTTTTTAATTTGTTTTTTTTTATTATTATTTATTATTTATTATATTTATCTTATTAATATATTTATTTAAAAAAAATTTAATATTAAATATTTATTTTATTTAAAGAATTTGGATTTTGGTGTGTGTGCTCAACATTTCTTATTTTATTATTTTATTTATATTTTTTTAATTAAATTTCTTATTGAAATCTTAAAATAAAAAATTAAACTAAATTTATATTTTAATTTATTAATTTTAATTGTATATAAGAGTATTTACTGAGTGAAAGGTAACATGTGCATCTTTTATGAACCATTAAGTTTATTAATTAAAGATTTCGTAATCTAATATTTACTTATTAATATTAATTATTTATTAATCACATTTACATTTACATTTACACATATTCGCTCCCTCGAAACAAAATTTTAATAATAGTAGAATGATCAATTATCTGTATATGTCAACATACATTTATTATAATTAAGGTTTTTTATTTTTTTTTATTTTAACTTATTATTAATCAAGAGTTAATTCAAAGCTCATTATTACGTAATTGACTTCCTATTAATTAGTAAATTTTAGGCTTAATTAATTTAAAAAAATAATTTTCAGATTAAATTTGCGATTAATTAATGGTTTGATATTATTATTTTTTTAAAAAAAAAAAAAAAAATGTCAAGACGGATATAAATTAAATGATGAATGAATGAATGGAAAAAAAGAGGCAATCAAAGCAATATTTTAATTAATATATATATTAAAGTAATCAATACGACGACGATCTTAAAATTTATTGGTTACATGTTTATTTACTTTAATTTCCATATTCACTACCCATGTTGATCGAGTCAACAAGAGTGGATAATCCCCAAATATGGTATAAAAAATTAAATTTTCCTAATCTAGTTATTATTATTATCAAAAAGCGAAACCCTAAAATAATAATAAATAAAAAAGCCTAGTCGGGTCGTTGGAAAAAAGATTTTTTTTTTTTTCAGAGATTAAAACTAAACTAGGAATTAAAAAGATTCAATCTATTTATTTATTATTTATAAAAAAAATAAATATTTATAAATTTTAATTTTTCCTACAATGTTCATCAAAATAATTTCTCTTTTACCTCCATCTTCCTTGACGACTTTTTTTTCTTCCATTATTATGTACACAATCATTATTAATGCTTCATAGCATCATTTAACATTTTTGTGAATTAGAAATTAAAATAAATAATTGATAAATAATGACAAGAACTTTTTCTTTAATGCACTTTTTTGGTTTTCCTTTATTATGTATGATAATAATAAATAATATAATAAATAATGAATGCAATAAAATGGCCATTATTTAATAATGGATAATAAAAAAATGAATAAATAATGTTGGCCCTGAAAATATTGACAATGGACAAATACCCCCTGCAATATTGTTTGTTACACTGGGTATTTCAATAGGCATTTAAATATATAATTTTTACATACATACACTTGATTCCTAAAAAAAAAAAAATCATCTATTGATTAAATTAACTTAAAATGATTTTATTCCCTTCGTCTATTTTATTTTACTTTTTGCATGCTTTAAAAAAATCCCTAAAAATAGCTTTTTTTTTTTTTTTTTAATTATCAGGAGTTTAATTTGAGTTTCAATTAAAGAAATGTGAAAAAAAAAATTTTTAAAAACGGAATTCCTAATGAAATGGCCTGCGCACCACGACCGTGTGATCTTTGCATTTAAAAAAGAAAATATCAAAATCGTTCATTTCTGGCCGAATATTGATTGACCAGTAAATATTGATTAAGCAACCAATCAATTGATTGATTAATTGATATTTAAAAAAAAATTTTTATGTACCTAAGCATTATTTTATTCAATGCTCTTGTTCTCTTTGTTAAGTAAAGCAATATAATGGGTTATTATAAATGGTATAATCATAATAGTACAACCAGTTATTATAATAATCATTCCAATGAAAACATGATCTAGAATTAATTACATATTAATTTATATGCGTAATATTTTGCAAATGTAATATATTATATAATATACATTTCAATTTCAAATTCAATTCAATTTTTCAATTCAATTACAAATTTAAACTCGCTATTCAACCACAATTATAAATAAATTCAATATTTATTAGATTTAATTTATCTGTATTATCTATGCGATTCATGTATCTGTATAATAGACAATAGCTAATCCTAATCGCACATCTACGCGTATAATTCAATGATCATCATTTATTTTTCATTTCTTTTTCAAAAATGGAAAAAGAGGGGTTTAAGAGTGAACGAGTAATTTGTAAAGATTGTGATTTCATTTAATTATAATCTGATTTAGATTTAGATTTGATTATGTTGATCATAACTATAGTTGTTATCTGTTGATATCATTTATAACGTGTGAATATAATACAGATGTCGCTACTACGTTGTCATTTCTACGTTGTAATGATTAATCATTTAACCATCTTTATATCTTTGTTTGTATGCAGTGTTTTATTAAAATCTCTTTATTTTTTATTATCAATAATTACTAATTATTTCTGATAATCATTAATTTATTATTATTAATTATTGTTGTTTGTTATTGATTAATTGTAGAACGAAGAACGCAAGCAACGATACATGTAACATTTTACTGTTGATTTGTTTTTTCCTTCTTGATGGGTTTCTTTCTTTCTTTTATTTTTCTTTCTTTCATCTTCTTTCATTGATTCTTTCTTGAATCAGGTCGAATCATAATCCATCTCATTTGTTTATTTATCTCGTTTGGACATGCATAAATTAACATTGTTCTGTTGTGAATGATTAAGGTTAAGATTACTGCCGGATTTACTATTGGTTTCGATTTTATTGTTTTTTTTTTTTTATTTAATGTATTAAAGAATGAAGCATTATATTATGATTTATGCCATGTAACTATATAAAAAAAAAAAAACAAATAATTAATTTTTCTTTATCTTCTTTTGCTTCTTATTCCTTTACAAAAAAAATTAAAATTAACTTCTTTTATTCGTACTTGTACGATCAGTAAATCAATTTTCGATTCGTTCGTTTATTTGAGAACAGAACGGGTTTTTTCAAATTTTTAATAATCTTAACAATCTTGCCTAACATATTTTATTTTATTTGTTCGACTTTCACATGAAAAATATTATAGATATATATATATATATATACACACATATACATACACACAAATATATAAATTGATTTGATTTGGGTGAAAGAGCGAGAGTTCGCGAAAAATTTATTTGCATAAATTTATATTTGTTTTTTTCCTTTCCTTCGTCCCGTTCGTTCTTTCTCGTTTCTCAACCTTTCGCATCAAATCAATATTGAGTTATTATTGTTTATTGAATTAATTTGAACATAATAATAATTATTGTTATTGTTTGTTACAAATAAAATTACTCACTCACTCATGTGAAAGGTTTTATTTTTTTGTGTGTGCAAATTAAAGATTTTTTTATTATTAATTTTAGTAATTTTTTTCCTTGAAGAGAAACATCTTTTTTTTCTTTCGCATAATAATATTTACCACTATGAACAAAAAAAGATGATAAAACAGATAGATATATTAACGGAGATTTTTCTTAATATTATTTAATATGTGCGTATATATTTTATTAATATTATTCACATTTATTAATATTATCATCTAAAAATGCACGCATTTCGTAATATTACAAAACAAGTAATAATAAGATAACAACAATAATAACAATAGCAAAAATAATTTAAGCTTAAATTTAAAAATTTAAAATATTATGCTTGTGTAATGAGTTAAAAATAAATAAATTTTAAATTTGGTCAATAAAGCAAAAATATAAAAGGTATTGCGAGGGTTGCGAAAACATAAATGAATGGGTAGGTAGTAGATAAACTCTTAAATAGGATGGAATGAAATTTCATAGTAAATAAATAAATAAATGAACAAATGAATGAACAAGTGATGATGAGCAAACGAATCAACGATTAATTGATTGATTGATCGATTGAATAAACCGTTTTATTTATTATCTGACAAAAAAATATTTTTAATATTTAAATATTTATATAAAATTAAAATTATTAATTTAGTAATTACAGTTGCTCAAATATTTCCCGCCAAAAACTATTTAAGATAAAAAACATATAAATCTTAACACAAACACCTAATAAATATAACACTACCTAGTATACATTCTTTCCATATTAAATAAAAAAACATTTGATTTCATTAGTTACGAGAATTATTACTCGAAGCACGTTGTGTTTCATGGTAAATTTTAATTCGACCCTCTTTCTCGTTTATAAAAACATGATTGTTGGTTACACGGTTCTTCATTCATTACATACATGTCAATGACCCCCGAATTGTTGGGATATTAAATATTAATATCAATATATTAAAACCGTTCTTCACAAATAAAAAGACAAAGAATTATTATTATTATTATTATTATATTTAACACTAATTAATGCAATTTTATGACGATGAGACTCAACAATGCATGCATTTTGTATAAAGTTGAATGTACCGTTTAAAGAAAACAAAGATCAGGCCAAGCTTTGCCATGCCTATTCAGGATAAAATGAACCACGCCATCCGCATGATACTTTTCATTCAAATCTCCAATTGACAGTAAATAGATATGATCCTAAACTCCGAACTGCAGGCTCTATGGAAAAAATCTATTAATATTCCGATTTAGTTAAGGTCTACACCCACACACCCGGGAACCCTGGACTTTTGTGCCCAGGTTAAAATTTATTTTAGTTTTATTGTAAAATATGAACAGACGTACAGTAAACAAGGTTTCTAAAAAAATCTAATAACTGATAATTATTCAATCCCGTTATAATCGTTATTGAAATTGAATGTTTGTTTTGTTACTAGCAAAAAAATATATCCCAGATTTGGCATTGTGAATGTCTAATCGGATTGGTTAGAATTATTAAAATATCCTATTGTATAGAATTTAATATATTAATTATTTCTAACCAAATGGATTTAATGTTTTTTATTAAATGTTTCATCTAAAAAAAATTTATAGAAAAATTTCGGAGTCAAAAACCCATCTGAAAGGCACATCAACATCAAACAAACATTACCACCACCAACCTGCGTCTTCTCTTTCTCGCTTTTATCAATATCATTTAATATTTGATTAATTTCTTGTATTTTTCTATTACAAATTTTCTCTAACCAATCATTTATCAATCTTTCATTATTTTCATTAATGATTTCTCTGTTTCCTCTGATTACTTGTTTCCATTCCTGTATCTCGCTATTGTTTTTACTAAATAGTAGTCTGAGTGAGTTTAACAATCTAAATGAAGCGTATGATTTATGTATTGTGTAATCACTTTTGGAAAACACAAATAAATTAACGAATAGATGGATGGATTATCTTTAATTAATTAGAATCTTCTTAAAAAACAAACATTCCAATTACCCCAAAAATCCTTCATTTTTCAACGTTTCGTGCTTCATTATCTTCTCTTGTTCCTCCAATTCAATCTCAAAAACTTCTCTATCCAATAAAACATAATCATAATTATTAATATTATCATTATTACCATTGTTACTATTATTAGAAATTATAAACCCGTATTCTATCAAGAGAAAATAATTGTCATGTGGCCCATAATTTATAAAGACCTGAAAAATAAAATTATTAAACTTCTTAAATCTAATTTATTAACTTCTTAGAAATCGAATCTCTTTAATAATATTAATGAGTTACCTGTTGTCCTTTTTTAATCGAATCGTATGTTGTTATTTCATAACTTTTATTAAATTTATTAAATTCTCCTTTAATCTAACAATACATTCAATCAATTGATCAATTAATCAATATATATATGCTCGTGTGTGTGCGCATTTGTGACAAGTTGATCATTCACCTTTGCATCATTGCTGTGATTTATAAAATCTAACATTGGTGCAATGGCAATATTGTTTTCTTTTCTAAAATCATTGCTTGATTGTGATGTTTCCTCCATATATACACACCTTGTATTAACTTTTCATAAAAATTTTTTCAAGCAATTTACTTGATATCTTGTGACCTTTGAGAATGATAATATTTGAAAGTATAAAAATAACAAATCTGCTGCAATTACTTACCATTTAACCATCCCCATAGAAATTCATCATATGTAATTGGCATCGAAAGATCTGCGTTTTTCTAAATTATAATCACATAAAATTATTGAACTTATTTAGTAATGATTTATGCTTTGAAATCCTAGTTCGCTATTATCACTAATTGTTATTTAATATTTGTACCTCAAGAAATTTATTTACAACTTTAAAATCGTCAATAAATTTTTTCCTTTGATTTTCTAACAAATCTAACAAAAAGATCAACACCAAATATTAATAATTTCGAAACCATTTTGTCATAAAAGTATAAACTAGATATGTTACCTTTAATATGATATGGTAAATATTTCATTACATCATTGTAATTACCATTATCGTAATCATAATTCTTATCATTATCATAATCATTATCATTATCACTATCACTATCACTATCACTATCACTATCACCTTGATGTTTATCTTTATTGTTAATATTGTTGTTGAAGCAACAACTTAATAAAACATTATTAAAATTTGTTGGCAGAGTACCAATATAAGGATACAATTTACTCTTATATTGTTTTTTCTTTTCCAAAATTAGATGTAATGATATAAGTTGATGTGAAGAAAGTTTCATCAAAGATCTATTAATATTTATTAATATTATAATATTATTAATATTGACCTTGTTGATCTAGTAATAAAATTTTTTTTTTACCTTGAAATCCTTTCGCCATATATTGTCATCAGACTTTGATATGTTATTAGAAATCTTTGGGGAACTGATATTATAATTTCGCCTGGCTTAATTATTATATCAATAATAACATTATTAATGATGATGAGTGCATTACCTCAAAACAAAAAAAAAAGAATCAATATATATATATATATTATAATAAACCTTGATGTCTTTTGTTGCCATCATACCTCTTCCAGTTCCTAAATAGAAACAAGAACAAAAAAAATCAAAGTTCGATTATAAATTTTTGCAACAAGCATCAAATTTTTTCCTTTTTAGAGAAAATGAAGACCTTTAAATTCTGCTAATGTTAACTTGGTCTTTGGAAACCCTTGTTGATTTAACCATTCACGAAATTTCAACCATTCCAAATCTTTTATAACTAAAAACATCCAATTAATTACAAATAAAGTTTATTATTGTGCAAGCTGCAAATATTAAACTAAATGTTACCTTTTGGCTTTTCATAATAATTTTTAGTTTTTCGCTTTCTAAAAGTCTGTTCAGACTGTGCCTCCTCATCAAAACCACCGCAACTACCAACAACACCAACATCTTGTTGTGTTTTTAATTCTTTTTTTTTCATTTAACAGCTATTTATTATAATAAATAGATATAACATCTTTTTTGAAATTGGTAAAAAAATGATCTATCCTCACATGACAAAAAAATTTTTTTCAATTCCTTTTTTGCTTTTATCTCTTGGTGTAAAATTTTTGCTCTAATTATCTTTTCGACTTGCAGAATCAAGATATCAGCCCGAAGATGAAATAATCTTTGGTAGAATGAAATGCTTGTTACCTTCTTTAAACATAACCGACTGTGTAGTTTTTCGATTGAATTTGCCGTACCTCAAATAATCATAATCAGATGGCAGGCAACATAAAATATAAACGAATTTTTATTTTACTTGATTGCAATTATGTATCATTCACTGTCTTGAATCCATCCTGTTCCAAATATTAATACTTAAAATTAAAGGCGAGTAAATAAAAAGGTCAATGGTTCGTTAAAAGGTTCTTCGCATATATTTTATTAATAATGTTAATGATCACAATTAAAGGAAAAAACTTATATTTAAAAATGTTGCTTCTTTACAATCTTTAATATTTTTACAACACCACCCTCTTCGATTCTTTCTATCACGTAACTTTTGTTATCACCACTATTACCACCTTTTTCATACTCTTCCCCTACATATTCTTCTATATAATCTTCATTCCCATCTTTATCAATGCCATCACTTTGATCATTTACAATAGAATTTGGATCATTTTTAATTATTCCTGTAGTGACAGTGGGAATTGTTGTTGGTGGTGATGATGATGATGGTTCATTACTATTTTTATTATCATTTTTAATTGTAGTTTTCACGTCACGTATTTCTTGTAAATCATCGTAAATTATATGATCAACAGGTGAAGGTGGCTGAATATCATCATCATTGTCATTATAATCGCTACTATTATCAATTATTATTCTTTTATTTATCTTTGTGCCTCCTCCTTCTTCTCCTTCTCGCTGTTCTTGATATTCTAGTGGTGATAATATTTTATCTTGCTTTATTATTGATTTTGATTCTGGTTTATTACGACGACTATAACACCACAAATTATCTTTACAAAGTTTAAATAATAATATACACCACACATGTAATACTCCTTTTAATTGAAAAGAAAAATAATATCAATTAAAAAAAAGTTTACCATATTCTTCGTAACTTAATTAATTATTTGCATATTACCGGGTACCCAGCCTTTATTGTTTTGATTAATTAATTAGTAGAATATTAATGATGATGTTATATATAAGATTTTAAATATAAGAAAAGAAAAATCATACAATACTACCTAATAAAGTCAATGCGACATTTATCCTGTCAAAAGGAGATTCATTATAAAAGAGAATGATGAAATTAATAACAATTATTTATGATTGATTGACCGATTGATTGATTGATCGATTGATCGATCGATTTATTACCAAAATGTATATCCAATTCTATATCTGTAATATATTGGTAAAGGTGGTAAAAATATTGACATTAAAAAACAAATATAATCAATTCGTGTCAACATTTTTTTTTTGATTTTGTAAAGAATTAAAAAAAATTTTATTTGATTTTTTTTTTTTTTTTTTTTGAAAATAATAAAGCGTTTTTGTGTCGACTGCACGTCGTCGATGATGAATAATAAGTAATGACGAAATATTGACGGCAAGCGATGTGAAAAAAAAAATTACACATTTCAAATATATTTTATTAATTAGTATTAGTGATCTTGTTTCTCAGTAACTATAAAAATTTTATTAATAATAGTAAGAGAGTGTTTTAATTAATTCCAAAGAATCTATATAATATTAATATAATGATTTTAAATTCACATTACCCCAAGTTCCACGATCCATAGGACACATGCCGCGACTTCCTTCAGTCTGAAGCCATTTCAACAAACAATGCATATGAAATACATGTGTACATTCTCCACATACTATATATACATCATTAATAGCAATGTTATTTAAATATTAATTTAATGTTAGTATCTAAGAAATAATGAATACAACATATATAGCGGATGAATAAAATGTGAATGTTATTTTAACTGAGTGGACAATCATCGCCAGGTATTCTACAAGTAGGACAACAACCATCAAATAAATTTCTACAAATTCCACATACTTCCTCATTCGAAACATCCCAACGCCAATAAGCTACACTATTCCAACTGATTGTTAAAATAATGCAAAGAGAATTAGCAAGTTTAACTCCTTTTGAATAACAAGCATCTTCAAAATCAAATATTTACCGCTTTATTTTCACTTTCATTATTCTCACTGTCTAATCTATTTTAAAATAAGATAAATTCTATAAATTCTAAAAATTTTTGAAAAAAGAATTCAACTGTAAACCAAGTCACGTGCGTTACACGATTATGTAAACACACTTGTCGTGAAAAAAATATTAATATAATTATAATCAATCCTTGCCCTTTTGTTATTTAAACCACCTTTTACCAATCAAAAAATGTTCATGTCTATCATACCCACATTGATGGCATCAATTATATGCTTACCATTTGTAATCTATTCGCCATATTTTGCCAAAAAAATAAATCTGATAAATAAACTATATTTAAAAACAAATTTGCTCAATGACAATTTTGTCAAATTCGATAATTCTGGTTTCACAATACTACTCAGTAGATAATAGTAGATAATAATTTCTAAATTTCAGCCAATGCATTTGTGGTTGCTTTTTCTCATTATCCAATTGAAGATAATGTTTACAAAATTTATGGTATAATATTTTTATCAATAGTTTTTATCTCTAAAACACACTGATTGATATAAATTCATTTATAAAATAAAAATATTTTTTTTTTCCTCATAAATTTATTTTGTAATTTTGGACTTTTAAAATTTGCTAAATTAAGAAAAGATAGTAAGTAATTATTAATCATAAAATAAATAATCTTTTTCTACAAAATGAATCTTTATCGTCAAGAACAACCTGGCACACCATTATTTTTTGAAAGTTTAGATGATGGTATTATGTCCTTTGGTTATGAGGACTATGACTACGACTATGACTATGATGAGTACGAGGCGGAAGAGACATTAGCTTTGCAAGATGAATCAGAGGAAGAGGAAGAGGAAGAATCTAAAGAAAAATTGGCCATCGTATCATCCCTAATTAATAAAGGTGATAATAATGCTAACAAACCTTTAACAGCAATCACAAAAGTTGCGACAATTACAACTGATACAGCAACCACGATTACTACAACAAATGAAGCAACGTCATCCAACTGCTCCATATGTTTACATCAATATCAAGATCAAAGTTATTTGAACTATTGTTATCATACATTTTGTTATTCATGTATTTCTCAATGGATAAAAACAATCGCAAAAAAAACCAAAAAACCCTATTGTCCTTTGTGTAAGAACAAGATAAAATATATAATTCATAATATTGACGAAGCTAAAGGATCATTTTTAAAATATTACTTGGAAAATGACTATGGTGAAAGATATGGCCATGGCAATAATGTTAATAACAACGGTGGTGAATTTAAGATTACTGAAAAAGATAAAATGATGATAACAAAGAAAAGAAAGAAATGGATTCGAGAAATTTCAAGCAATAATAACAACTTGTCATCAAATAATAATAAACATCAAAGGCTTGAAGTGTACTTGAAGGATCTATCACCAAATAATTTAGAAATATTAAAATCAAAAAAATCAAAAAAGTCAAGAATAAATGAAACAGATTTAAAAAGAATAAAACCATTTATTACTCGCGATTTAAAAGTGATATTATCAGACATGTACGATGAAATTATCGAAGAACACGTTCAATCAATATTAACAATGTATTATTTTAATGGGAGTAAAACTGAAAAAGAAGTGATTGATTTGTTGAAACCGTGGTTGAAAGGAGAAAAAATCACCCAAAAATTTCTGAGCGAACTAAACGAATTTTTGAATAGTGATTGGAATATTGAAAAATGGGATGAATTAATTGAATACGATTAAAGGCATTATAGAATATTTGTAAAATATGTGTTTATGGATGTAATACCATTACCATTGGATGGTGACAACAGTAAAATTTTACTTACCACTCCTTGCATGGTAAAAATTTTCCTTCAAAAATAGAAATTATTTATTTAATAACGATGACGATATTATTATATCATTATGGGCGAGAAATCAATTGCAGGGATGATTCTATTACAAAAACAACAACAATTTAATTATTACTATTGTTGTCTTTGAATTATGGTTAAATGGATGAATGATAATACCTTTTCGTTAATAATAAATTTTAATAGATATTCATGAACCTACCTACCTTGGATTATCAAGTAAATTAAATTAATTGGATTTCAAAAAGATTTTGTAAATAATAATTTTATTTGTATGTAGGATTTCATAAAATCGGCAGATAACTAGATTACTTAAATAGCATATTAATTAATGCTAATTAAAAAAAAATTTAATTTGATTTTATTTAATATAATAATAAAGTTATTATGGTCAAAGAGGCATCCTATGTGAGATCTTCAAATTAATATGACACCCAAAGTTTTTTTTTTTCAAACCATATTCGTTCTGTTTGCCTTTATTACATTACAATTAATCAAAAAACACATGATTATTTATTCGTCCATAAAATATTACTGCGACCCAAACTTCACCTCTTCCGAGATTTTCTGCAATCTACATGTATTTTATAAACGGATTAACAATTTAAGTCTTATTCACTTAATAATAACCATCCTCCTCTTGTTCTTTATAAGAAATAAGAAATAATATTTTCATTTTTCCTTTCAGATAACTTTGACAAATATTTGAATCAATGATGGTTTTTAATAAATGATAATTAGCGAACAAATTAATTATATGTTAATTATAATTATAATATAAATATACATACGCCCATTAAAATAAATAATAATGCTAATGCAACTAAATATATGCAATTAAAGGTGAGATAAATTAATCACGCAAAGTTGGGATCTTTATCACCTAACACGTGATCGGTTTTAGTTACATTATTGGTTATTTACGTTTCCTCTTCTTTACAGCCATCATTATCATCATTGCCATCGTAATTGTCATCATCGCTATCATCACTGTAATCATCGCTATCGTCAGATTTTTCTGGACTTCTAATGCTATTTTGTAGTTTATTGACTGCTTGTATTGCAACAACAGCTTTACGAAAGGTTTGGCGTGGATTGAAAATTTCAAACAAATCTACATCTGTTGCACAATCACCAGTCAACCATTCATGTTTTAAAGCATCTTCAGCTGTAGGACGTTTGGTTGAATCTAGTGTCAATAAACTAGAAACAAAGTTTCTGGCTAAAAATAAAATTTAAAAAAATTTATTAAATAGCTATTTAATATTAATATTTTATGCGTTATTTATTACCTTTGTCTGAAACATTCTTCCAATGAACATCTTCAAATTCTATAATTCCTCTTTTTATCTCTTCGTGAAGATAATCTCGATTTCTTGAACGATAAGGTAAATGTCCAGATAATCTGTTTATTTATTAAAGAATCGTGTAATATGTGTATTGTTTAGGAAATAAATTATAATTGTCTATAAAATAATTATTTTTAGATGAATAATACATACAAATAATATGTTATAATACTACACATTATATAATACATAAAATTAGTAAATATTTGCAAAATTCTATATTATAAAACTCGATTAACAATAGGATTCAATACCCAATACTCCATATATCAACAGATCTCGAATATGGAACTCTTCGATGAATTTCTGGTGCTAAATATCATATTTATAAATGTCATTCATGATTCATGATTTAAATAATCAAATGATAAATATTTTACCAGCATAAATATAAGATCCACAATGCGTCGTCATAATATCATCATTATCATCTATAACTTTTGATATACTAAAATTAATAAATTATAATGAATTATTAATAGATGTTCGATTAATTAAACATCTGATATAATAAAAATAAAAAGTTTTCAACATTACCCGAAATCTGCAATAACAAGCGGCGAATCTTTTAATTTATTTTTATATAATAAGTTCTCAGGCTTTAAATCTCTGTGTACAACTTTATGTTCATGAAGATATTTAACACTTTCAAGCACCGTTTTAATTACTTGTGCTGCATTGGATTCGGTAAATTTACCGAGTTCAATTAATCTATTAAGTAGTTCTCCGCCCGTTGCACTTTATTTTCATTATTATCATAATCATTAGCATTATTGTTAATGTTAATTAAAGATTAATATTTATAAAAAAACATTAGCCAATAATGGACATGTAATGTGCAAATCACCCACATTAAGTATTAACCAGAAAGGATACAGTTCAAACACTAGATAATATCTTTTCCTTGATTCAAACCATTCGTAAAATTTAACAATATTAGGATGATCTAACTTTTCCAATATTTTCATTTCTTTATAAACAATTGATTCTTGATTTTTTACTTTACGTTTCTTGATAATTTTTATAGCTACTTTTTCTCCTGTATCTATATTCACCGCCTCTTTAACCGATCCATAAGTTCCTGATCCTATATATTAATTATAGAATTTATTTAATTTACATACTTGTAAAATAATAATAAGTAATTATGTGAAAATAATTTACCCAAAATCTTTCCTATCCTATATTTTTTCTGTTTTTTAAAAAAAAAACTTCAATAAATGGGAAAATTATTTTTTAAAGATGCTTTGAAAATTTACTCTTACCTTCTTTCCATAAGACTCGGGGTTTGGAGGTTTATTAAATGCATAATCAATAATATTTTTCATGACCATTTCTTAAATGTTTTGAACGAATGAATCATGATTTTTTAATACAAATTGATTTTTTCGAAAGTTTTTGGTGACCGACAAACCTAATATCAGCCACAAACCTTAATCTTGGTGTTAAAGTTTATTGGCCAAACTACCGCATTTGGGAAATTCAATTGTCTTTTTTGACCATTACACCTGATGATCTCTTGCCTACATTTTTTTCTTTTTAATAAACAATAATAATACACATAAAGCTTACCATCTTTTCAATCACTCATCAAGTTTATATCGGACGAAACAGAGGCCTGAAATGGGACCCAACTCGGCCTGGTTGATACTTATACCCATCTTTATAGTGTGTTAAAAAATTGCGCCATATAATAGTAATAGTAATAGGATTTCTATTCGAATAAAGCGAATAAAGCGAATAAAACGAATAGTTCGATAAAGCAAATGATTCGATAACAGTAAAACAAATAGAGCGAATGAAACGAACAAAATCGGTAATTCGAATAAAAGCGAATAATTGAATAAAACGAACAATTCGAATAAAACGATTAAGGTTACGAATAAGAATTTGTAATAACATTGTTACAACGAAATGGCCGGACATATAATAATAAGAAAATTTCATTCAAAGTTTGTTGAAACAAGATTACTTATTTATTATATGTTTTCATGATGTGTAAGGTTTTTAAAAATTCGTTGGAATGCGAATTTAATTAAACGGTGTTTCACTGTACACTGTAAATAGCTATCTATTCGTGGAAAAAAATAAAGAAAACTAGTAAAAAATAAATTTTTATAAACTTGGTTAATGCGAGTTGACCGGATTGGGTTGGGTGCCGGTTTAGAAATCATGATTTAATGCGGGTTCGGGTTGGGCTCGGGTTTAATTATATGGCCAATGCAAGCCTCTGGGATAAAAATCATAATATTGAAGTAAAAAGTAATGTTGTTTTTGAATAACTATTATAGCTTTACATAGAGAGTCTTTATCAATATGAGAGAGGATTCATTAGAAAACTATAACGATTATAAAAATAACGAGATATTTGAAAACTAATTGGTTACGCATACGAATTGGAATTTCTATTTACATGTCAGTTATTAATATCAACATTAAATATTAACATATGAATGTCTGACTGTTATATATAGATTGACTCTTCGTTGTTTATTATCAATTTTGGTATTGTGTAAAATAATTTTCTACAAAACCAGAGCAAAACTTATATTATAAACCTCTCTTTTGAGTATGTAAAATATTTTTTTAAAAAGTCGTACTTGTTTTTCAAAAAAGATAAATGAATTGTAAATGAAAAATAAAAATAAAAGATCTATTGAATATCATTTGCCATATATATTATTATTTGTTATACGCATACCATCATGATGAATGCCAGTCGGTCAGCATATATGATTTCATTAGAGTTATTTTCAACATTTGAAAGCCTTGTCAATTATAATGATATAGATTCTGAAATCTTGGTTGAAAACCTGTATTTGTGATTAAAGGAGACGTTTTAAATGATTTAACCATTTTTTCTTTCAAAGGAAAGGTTGAGAATTTTCATTGAATACTAAAATACTAGTAAATCTATTTTATAACTGTCGTGTAACAAAGTACAACAATAATAATATTAGTATTAGTGTTAGTATTTAGTATTGTTTACCATAATGGATCGAATTCAGGTAATTCAAAATGCTGTTTATTAAAAAACCTATATATGAATGAATACAGTATTTTTTTTAGTTACAAAAATTTTTCTACACGATTTTTCAATTTTCATATTTTTCAAAATCCTTCATTCGTCGTCCGTCCATCCAACCTAAATATTGTCCAACTATCATCATTTTTTTAGTAACTATAAAACTTTAAAAATTTTTTTTGTATGGTTTTATCTTTCCACATATATAAAACCATAAATTTAAATTATTTAATTTTAAAGGAAAAACAAATTTTGTAAATAGGTTTTTCTTTAATAATTTATATAAATTGTAAGAATGTCTTCTTCAGGAAAAGATATAATTGAAGCCATCGAAGAAGTAATCAGGATGATTGATTCACCATTATCTGAAAATAATAATTCAATATCAAATAACACTAACAATAATAGTGCTAGTGGTAGTAATAATAATATTAGCGAAACCAATAATATTGAAAGTGATAATATAAATAGTAATAGTAACAACGATAATATAAATAGTAATATCGAAAGTAATAATAATGATAGCGAAAGCGATAATATAAATAGTAATATTGATAACAGTAGTAGCGAAAGCGATAATATAAACAATAATATAAATAGTAATATTGAAAACAATAGTGAACATAATAGTAATAGCGAAAGTGATAATATAAATAGTAATAGTGAAAATAATAGTAATAGCGAAAATGATAATATAAATAGTAACATTGAAAGTAATAATAGTAATAGCGAAAGTGATAATATAAATAGCAATAGTGAAAATAATAGTAATAGAGAAAGTGATAATAGTAATAGCGAAAATGATAATAATATTGAAAGCAATAATAACATTAATAATAATGACACTAATGATAATGACACTACCAATAATAACACTATAAATAATAACACTATAAATAATAACACTACTATTAATAACATCACTGATAATACTAACATTAATAACACTACTAATAGCACTACCACTAACACTAACGCTAATAGTAATAGTAATGATGAATTAAATAGAGAGTCTTTATTTTCCACCGTCAGTTCAAATGAAACATTAGTCGACTTTCCAAAATCAATTGATTCAAGTTTTGGAAATAAAGAACAATCATCATCATCATCAAAAGTTCCAAAAATAACTTTAGAATATATTGACGAAGAAAAAATTTCAGATTTTCTTCCTGGTTCTTCTTCTTCGGTGCTTAAAAACAGCAATAAAATAATAGATGATAGTAGACCATTTAGTACTTCAGTTAATACTAGTTTTGATCCAGATGATATTCCACCAATCTACACTGATAGAAAAAAATCCATTTACAAACCTGTACAAAAACCACCAATGACAATAACCAAAACTTCTATACTCCATATTTTTCGTTTTGCAACACGATTGGATCACTTAATCATGACTTTTGGCATTTTTTTCAGTATCACAAATGGTCTAGTAATACCATTCATGACCTATTTACTAGGTGACTTATTCAATGTATTCACAGAAATAGAACAAGGTAGTATAGGTGAAGATGAATTCAAACAACGCGTCAATATTCTAGTGTTAAATTTTGTTGAATTGGGTATAGGTGCTTTCGGCATCACAGCTATAAACACTTTCTTATGGATGTGGACTGCTGAAAGACAAGCTAGACGCATGAAACTAGAATATTTTAATTCATTGCTAGAAATGCCAATAAGTTATTTTGAAAGAGAAGAAGTCACTTCAGGTGGTTTATTGGCTGGTGTTAATAAAGATACCGAAGATGTGCATATTGTGATTGCCACAAACCTTGGACTTATAATTTGCTACATAATAACCTTCATTGCATGTCTTGCCTTGGCATTTAGTAAGCATGTGGTCTTGACATTTGTCATCTTAGCTTCGATGCCTCTAGTTTTTCTGGTTTTAGCATTGACATCTCGTGCAGCTTCTCCTTTAATCAAGCAAGAACGTGACATTTTTGTATTGGCTGGTGAAATAATAGAAAGTTCTTTGTCAAATATAAAAACAATTAGATCATTTAATGGTGAAGAAAAGCAAGAAAAGAAACATGAAGTTTGTATCAAAGAAGCGAATAAAGTATCATCAAATCTTGCTTGGATATATGCCCTAAGAACTGGATTAATACAATTTCTGTTACTGTCTTTGTTTGTCCAAGGTTTTTGGTACGGTTCAATTTTAGTGGCTGATGGCAATCTTACACCAGGTGACGTCTTGTCAGTTTTCTACGCTACACTTTTGGGTGCCAATATGCTGAAAAGTGTATTACCTCTTTTGGTCTCTATTACAAAAGCAAAGAATGGTATACGTTCTATAAACAATTTATTGGAAAAGGTGGCTTTAAAAAGATTAGAAGCTCTTAGAGGTTTTTCCTTGCCATCAATTAAGGGTGACATAGAATTCTATCAGGTCAGTTTCTCATATCCAAGTCGGCCAGAATCAGTAGTTCTGAAAAATATAGATATAGTCATCCCATCTGGCAAAACAACAGTACTAGTAGGACAAAGTGGATCTGGCAAATCAACAATAGCTCAATTAATTCAAAAACTTTATGAGCCAGACGAAGGAACAATTATGTTGGATGGACGTGAATTGAAAATTGTAAATATTGATTGGTTAAGAAGTAAGATTGGAGTAGTTAGTCAAGAGCCGGTTCTCTTTGACGAAACTATTTTCAAAAATGTTGCTTATGGTAGATCTGACTATGAAGATGTTACTATGGATGAAGTGATTAATGCTTGCAAATTAGCTTGTATTCATGACGAGATTATGGAACTTGCGGAAGGTTATGATACAGTCGTTGGTGATAAAGCCGGAAAGCTTTCTGGTGGTCAACGCCAAAGAATAGCTATAGCTCGTGCCTTGATTAAAGATCCCGCAATCCTAATTCTTGGTAACTATTTTTTTATTCATATTTATTTATATACGTAAATACATACACATGTTCACCTACTCACACATCCATTAATACATATCGTAATTGTTTGTAGATGAGGCATCCAGTGCTCTTGATATGACTTCGGATATGTTGGTTCAACAAGCTCTTGAAAATTCTAGTAATGGCAGAACTACAATAGTGATAACTCATCAATTGAAACATATTAGAGAAGATGACCTGGTATATGTACTTCATGATGGCGAAGTTGTAGAAAAGGGATTGGTAGCTGATCTTCTTGAGATCAAAGATAGTTATTATAGTAAATTATTAAAAGAATCCTACAAAAATCCACATCCAAAACGAAGAACCCACGAATTGAATAGTATAAATATGAGATTGAAAGATTCAGAGACTATAGTAAATAATAACAATAACAACAATAATAATATTAGCAGAAAGAATAGTAAAAGGAAATCATATATGGATATCATGTTACCCGATAGTCCAACCAAACTCACCACCCCTGGTAACAATTTATTACATAGATCATTAAGTGTTGGAGTTCAAGTTGGTTGGAGAAAGTCGGTGTACGAGGATTATTTCGAGTCAAGTGCTATGGATGTTTTACAAGGTACAGCTACAGCCGCAATAACTAAAAGATATGAGAATAGGGTTTCGTATTTTGACCTTTTAAGTTATTATGATTATGTTGATGATGGTGGTATAATAGACGTGATTGTCACGAATGCAATCGGTGATGCACCAAAAGACAATGTAAAAATGAAATTTTTCCAGCTCATGAAATTAACGATGAATAATAAAACTTTATATGCCTTTGGTCTGATTGCATGTATTATCAATGGACTTGTAATGCCAGTATTTTCATTTGTTCTTGCTAAATTGCTGGCTACATATTCAATTAGCGACAGTGAGCAATTAATTGCTAATTCAAGAAACCTTGCACTAACTGTGTTGGCAATAGCTGCTATAAATGGTGGATCAGCTCATTTTAAATATTTTTTACTCGAGAGAGCCTCAGAAGATTGGGCGGTTCGTTTAAGGCATTTAGGATTTGGAACAATTCTTAGACAATCTCAATCATGGTTTGATAAGCCGGAAAATGTAACAGGAAAACTTACTACAATTTTAACTACTGATACTGAAGCAACTAAGAACCTAATTGGACATTTTGCAGGAAGTATTGTTTATGGTACTGTGACACTTGTTGGTGGTATGATATGGTCAATAATAGTTGGTTGGCAATTGACATTGGTTGGATTTGGATTTGTACCAATTTTGTTACTAGGATCAGAAATTCAAGTCTATGTTCTACAAAAATATGAACGTATGCAAAAAAGTTCATACGAAAATGCTTCTAATGTTTTCTATCAAACAATCTCTAGTGTAAGAACAGTATTTTGTCTTGCGGTTGAAAATGCCATGTTGCTTAAATTTCACGATTCACTTCGTAGGCCTTATATAATTGGTATACGTAAAGCAGTTATATCAGCATTGACAGCAGGTTTTATCGAAGGCCTATCCTACTTGACTAAAGCTGTGACATTTTGGTATGGTGCACAGCTTGTTGCCAATGGAACTTATAATCTTAGTACAATGCTCACAGTATGGACGTTAGTTGTTTTTTGTACATCATCAGCAACACAAATGCTTGCAACCATTCCTTATTATGCTAAAAGTAAACAAGCAGCTAAATCCATATCAAAAATAATTAATTTGCCAACTCTACCCACCACAACTGGAAAAATACTTGAGTCATTACAAGGAACCATTGTCTTCAAAGATGTGTACTTTTCCTATCCTGAAAGACCGAATAGTAGGATTCTTAGTGGTTTAGATTTAACATTGCAACAAGGTCAATCAGTTGCTTTAGTTGGTAAGAGTGGAAATGGTAAATCAACAGTTGCTGCACTTTTACAAAGACTTTACGAACCAGATTCCGGACAAATTTTACTCGATTACACAAACATCAAAGAACTTCAAATGTACTGGCTACGTGACATAATAGGTGTTGTATCACAAGAACCGGTACTGTTTGAAGCGACTGTAGCTGAAAATATTGCATATGGTAAAGAGGATGCAACTGCGGAAGAAATTGAGCAGGTAGCCAGACAAGTTAATATGCATGAATATATACTCGGACTTCCAAAAGGATACTTGACAAAAATAGGATCTAGTGGATCGCAATTGTCCGGTGGCCAAAAACAACGGATTGCCATAGCAAGAACATTATTGAAGAATCCGAAAATTCTAATATTAGACGAAGCCACAAGCGCACTAGACGCTACAAATGAAGCAATAGTTCAAGAAACATTGAGCCAAGTACAGAAAGGACGAACTACATTAGTGATAACACATCGATTAACTGCAGTTAAAAGCCTGGATAGAATTGCGTACATAGAGGATGGAAGAATTGTTGAAACTGGAACTCATAAAGAATTGATGTCTCTAAAAGGAAGATATTTTGATTTAGTTAGAAGCGATAATATATAAAAATCAATTTAACAAAAATTGAAAAGCTATGGAAAAAGAAAAAACCATTCATTATAACTGACATCGCCATCATCACCATCATCATAATGATCTGAATTTACAAGAAAGCGGCATCCTGAACGAATAGATTGCTCTTCATCACACAAAAAAATTATATAATTGTATGATATAACCGTAAAAAAAAACCCCCCATTTAACATTTATATTAATATAAAATCGATAAGAAAAACCTTGTCATTCATTCATTAGACTAATTTTTCTAATCTAATATATATTTATTTATTTATTACTAATTGTATTATTTACATCACATTAATTTATTAATTTATTTGTATTATAGTGTTTTTAAAAAAAAATATATTTGGTGAGGAATTTTGTGGGCCAGGATTTTAATAATAGCAATAATAGCAATAATAATAACTAATAATAAAATGAAAAAGTAAATTAATTTGTATTCATGATCATTTTATTAATTAATTTATGAAAAAAAAAAATTTATTTCATTTAACATCCAAAGTGTATATTGTTGATATGATTTGATTGGATCACAACATCAACAATTTCAAATGCATAGAAATGTTGGGAACAATAATGGTTATGTAGCATGAGAATACCCTTAAAGTCAATAACGTATGAATAAACGAGCGAGTAAACACCACTTGGTGGCGTTATGTATAAAGGAATTGAAGCTTGTTCGAGTAAAACTGTACATCGCCTACAAAATTTCAATAAGACTAACCAAGCGCCGAGAAATTTTATCCGCGGACACCATTTTTCCATTTAATTTTAAAATAAGAGGGCAAATTATATTCCTCTGTTTATTAATTGGGGCATGCTGCAACAAAGGCCAGTCAAAGTGAAACCAAGAATTTCAGGGGTCAAATTTAATAATCTCTGCAAGTTCGACGAACAACTGGCAAAATATGACTCCTCTAAAAAAATCAATTATATATGTAGAAATTTTGTGCAACATGTCAATTTTTACTATTAAAATCGAAGGAACTTTTTCATTTGTCACCTAGCACACCCACATGAAGTTTTAACCAGAAACGTGATATTTTGTACACGCATTCTTTAGCTATGGTTTACTAAAAAAACAGAAAAGAATTACTCGTTGAAAGTTATGCCTTCAATTCTTAATCATGTTACAACAAATTATTTTGAACTTGTAATTTCAATAAAACATAAACAAGAAGCCACCA